ATACAGACATTATAAGGAAAAGCTGCACGGGTTTGGCTATAAAGCGGGTTTAATTCAAACCTACCTGCCTTGAGAAGCTTCAGCTCCAATCTGAGACGGCTGATTTCCAGATCTTTTGAACGACAGAGCTCCTCTTTGTATTCGGCTATTGTCTTTTCAACCGCTCCAAATATCTCCTCCGCGGCCACCATCAGCCTCTCGCTCAGAAAAGCTTTCAGTGAATGCATCCTGGACGTTTAGACGGGAGGCTGCCAGCTCTCGGTGGCTCCTGAACACGTATTTGTGCGGGTCCGTGAACGTCACGCTTGGATTGTAAACATGGACATGAAACTAGTGAGGTGAGAAATGTGCAACACGAGAAAACAGCGCCACCTTCTGGCTTGGAGGACAAGAATAAACGTTACGCCTTGATGATAAAATAAAAAAATATCCTTTACTATGATTTCTGTTCTATTTAAATATTATAAACAGTGCTGTTAAAAAGAATTTTCCCCTTTTTTGAATATTTGTGACACTTACATTTTTTAATATCAATGCTAATAAAATATGTCCTTCTTCAGAACACCAGTGTGCTTGAACTTCAGCACAGAAAAGAAAGCCTGATTTGAGTGTCGGTGTGATGTTCTTTTTATGAAATGCTGTTTTAATTTTATGTCAGATGTAACAGGACTCAAACCCTCTACAAAGCTCAGCTTTTGTCTCATCAGTCCACAGAACAGTTTCCCAAAAGTCTTGTAGATCATCAAGATGTTTTTTTGGCAAATGTGTGATCTTTTTGGTTAGCGCTCTCCCATGTGCGCCATTTTTGCCCAGCCTCTTTCTTGTTGTTAAATCATGAACTCTGATCCTCTGACTGAGGCAAGTGAAGCCTGCAGTTCTTTAGATGTTCTGGGTTCTTTTGTGACCTCCTGGATGAGTCATTGATGTACTCTTGGAGTAATTTTGATAGATTGATCACTCCTGGGAAGCTTCACTGCTGTTCCAGGTTTTCTTAATTTGTAGATAAGTCTTATAAAAGGTTTTATAACCCTTTAGAGACTGACAGATATCAGTGAGTTTGTTTCTCAGCTGTTATATCAGGCCGTGTAGCTTTTTAGATTTATGTATTTTTAGCCTACTTCATTTTTTCAGACAAGTTCTATTTAAAATATTGTATATGATCCTGTATGGGGTTTTTTCTTGGCTGTTTATTCTTGTCTGCTGACAAAACACACACACACACTCTCACATACATTCACTTCATCATCCCAGCTTCAAAGCCCTTCCTGTTCAGGCCTGGCCCCGATATTGCTCACAGCAGGATATCAGCTGTAAGCCTGTTCAGTTGATTTCTCCTGTTCATTCCAGCAACTTTTTCAACTCAGTTTTTGAAGTTTTCAGTTAGGAAATAACAATCATTGCCTCCATATAAGGACCCATATGTCAACAAACCCCTGAACTCATTGCCCCAACTCTGGGAAAAGCTTGTGAGGGAAGAAGTGTAAAGAGCTTGGGTACATACATGTCAACAAAACAGCAACCACAACAAAGAGAGGAGGCAGGAGGGAAAGGAGTCCCAGGATTAAAG